CTGCTGCTGCTGCTGCTGCTTTCCCGCCCGTCTCATCCCGCTTTGTCCTCACTGATCCGGATCTAGGTCAATCATCCCCCTTTCTTAATGGAATTTTTTCCATGAATAATTGATTTTCTCCCCCCGCCAAGAGACCTCGGCCGTGTGCGGATCTGTAGGGAGATGTCTCGTGCCTTCCCTTCATTTTTTTTTATTTTTTTTTTTTCCGTTAAACTTCCCCTCCCGGCCCTAAATGGGTCATTTTGGTGCCTGAGCTGTCCCTTTCCAAGGGGAACCGTCCTTCCAGGGCTCTGGGAAGGTTGGAAAAGCTCCTCAGCACTGCTGGAGCCCCAGGGATGCCCCATATCCCCAAGATCTCAGTGGAAAAGCAGCTCAGGGTTGGAATAAACCCTCCCCATGCCCATTTTTCATTTTGCTCTCCATCACRTGTCACATCCATCAATATTTCCCAATTCCATCCGATTCCAGCCTGTTTTCAAGAGGCAGGGAGGGCAGGAAATGTGGGAGCTGATGGAATGGGGACCGTCCCCGGTGCTCAGCTCCCTCTGCCMCTCCTCTGCCGCTCCTCCTGCTCTCCTCCTCCCCAACTTCCTCTCTCTCCCCTTTTAATTTCCCATCCCAAATTTATTTGGAGCCCTCCTCTCCTTTCCAGGCRCTTTCCCGGGTGAGTTCAGATTCCCGGGATGGCCAGGGAGGTGACATTTTCCGTGTTTTCCTGTCCTCAAAGGAGACTTTTAAAAGCCCCATTTTTTTTGTTTTCTCTATTTTTGTTCTTTTTGTTGTTTTGTTTTGGTTTGGTTTTGTTTTTTCCTTCTCTCCCACCGATTCTAGCCCGAGGGATCACGGAAACCACTCCCAGCTTCATGTACCCGTACGGRACGTCCAGCAGCCAGATGGTGCTGCGGGGGGTGGATCTCCTGCTGGAATGCATCGCCTCCGGAGTGTACGTACCACGGGACGGGTGTATCCCGGTGATTCCCGGTGGGATTCCTGGGATTAGAGTGCGGGATCACCCACAGATTGGGAAAAACGGATCATTCCCTTTTTTTTTTTTTTTTTTTTTTTTTTGTAATGATGCTCCCATGAGCAGAGGAGCAGAGGATTCCAGGTGTTTTTGGACCTTTGTCCAAGGATAATTCTGCTCTGATTTGTCCCAAAATTTGGGAATTTCCCAAAATCCCCTCACCAGGCTGTCCCCACTGATTTGCCTCAAAATTTGGGAATTTCCCAAAATCCCCTCACCATTCTGTCCCCACTGATTTGTCCCAAATTTTAGGAATTTCCCAAGATCCCCTTACCATGCTGTCCAAGGACTGGTTTGCTCCAAAGTTTGGGAATTYCCCAAAATCCCCTCACCAYGCTGTCCSCACTGGTTTGYYCCAAAGTYTGGGAATTTCCTAAAATCCCCTCACCACGCTGTCCCCACTGATTTATCCCAAAATTTGGGAATTTCCCAAAATCCCTTCACCACGCTGTCCCCACTGGTTTGTCCCAAAATTTGGGAATTTCCCGAGATCCCCTCCCCACACTTTGGGGGAGGACATTGATGTCCCCTAGAAGTGTCCTGGGCTCGTGGTCCTGCCCACGCCATCGGACCGTGGTCAGGGATGGGCTTTGGSGKCYCYTCCACCCCAAACCATTSCAGAATCCCACAATCCTGAATTCYCAGGAGGAYCAGRAGGAGAACACCGCTCYGGGGTGTTTGGKGTCATGGTTTAGGGAATGAGGGTGGTTCAGCTGTTGGACCAGACCTTCCCCTGGCTCTGAGGGCTTCCCAGGAGCAGGAATTTCACYGTAATTTCCAAATAAAAACCCTTTCCTCGGGAATCAATCCCTCTCTGGCAAAGCTCTGATGCGCCGCGCTCTCCGCAGACCAGCGCCGGACATCATGTGGTACAAGAAAGGCGGAGAGCTCCCGGCCGGCAAAACCAAGCTGGAGAACTTCAACAAAGCCCTGCGCATCTCCAATGTGTCCGAGGAGGATTCCGGGGAATATTTCTGCCTGGCCTCCAACAAGATGGGCAGCATCCGCCACACGATCTCGGTGAGAGTGAAGGGTACGTCACCTTTACCTTCCCTCTTGGGGACCCGCCCATCCGGAGCCGGGATGGGGACAGGGTGGGGACGTTCCTGGAATGCCTGGAGGGGCGGTGGGGTGGGGCTGGGTGGCGTTAGGGAATTGTGGAATGGTTTGGGTTGGGAGTTTGGAGTTCATCCAGATCTCTGTGTTAACATCTTGGCATTCCCGCGAGGGTTTGCCCATTGCCCTCCCGACATCCCCATTGCCCTTCCCGACATTCCAAATGTGGAATCCCAATGCTGCAGGAGGGGGATTTTCCACCCCAAATCCCCCCAGAGCTGCTCCCAGCTCCGTGTTCAGCTCCCCTTCCCGGGCTGGCTCCAAGGGCACTCAGGGATCTGGGAATTCCAGATGGGTTTGGGTGGGAAAAGACCTTAAATCCCATCCAGTGTCACCCCTGTCACAGCAGGGACACCTCCCACCATCACAGGGTGCTCCAAACCCCGTCCAACCCGGCCTTGGACACTCCCAGGGATCCACAGCTTCTGTGGGAATTCCATCCCAGCCCTCCCCACCCTCCCAAGGAACGAGTCCTTCTCAAAATCCCATCGAAACATTCCCTTTTTCATTTAAATCCTGTCCCAGCTGCCCCAAAAGCCACTGGGGTCTCACTGATGGAAATGGGGGTGGATTTGTGAGGCCGAGGAGAGGGAAAGGGGCATCCACACCTTCACTGAATCCCGAGAACTCCTCTTGATGTCTCTGTGTGATCCTCCCCGGGGGTTCTCGGGGGGCGGTGGGGAGATCTCGGGGGGTGGTGGCACTGTCCCCGTGTCACTGGGCCTGCGGTGTTTTCCAGCTGCCCCCTATTGGCTGGATGAGCCGGAGAATCTGATCCTGGCTCCGGGTGAGGATGGCCGGCTTGTGTGCCGGGCCAACGGCAACCCCAAACCGTCCATCCAGTGGTTGGTGAATGGAGAGCCCATCGAAGGTGAGCGAGGGACAGGCTGGGGCTCCTTCTCCGCAATCCCGGCCAAAATCCCACCAAAATCCCAACCAAGGATCTTGTGGCTGAGCACGAGCCAGTTTGCTTCCTTCTCCAAAATTCCAGCCCAAATCAGAGTCAAGGATCTTGTGGCTGAGCATGAACCAGAGTTTGCTTCCTTCTCCAAAATTCTCGCCAAAATCCTACCAAAATCCCAGTCAAGGATCTCGTGGCTGAGCACGAGCCAGAGTTTGCTTCCTTCTCCAAAATTCCAGCCCAGACCTCTCCAAAATTCTGAGCACAAGCCAGAGTTTGCTTCCTTCTCCAAAATTCCAGCCCAGACCTCTCCAAAATTCTGAGCACAAGCCAGAGCTGCTTCCTCTGCCAAAATCCCAGCCTAAATCCCACAAAAATTCTGGTCAAGGGTCTTGTGGCTGAACATGAGTGAGAGCTGCTTCCTCCACCACAATCCCAGCCGAAATTCCAGCACAAATATCAGCCAAGGATTTTGTGGTTCTTCAAGAGCCAGAGTTTTCTTCCTCCTCCAAAATTCCAGACAAAATCCCTCCAAAATTCTGGTCAAGGATCTCATGGCTGAGCATGAACCAGAGTTTGCTTCCTTCTCCAAAATTCTCCAAAATTCTCACCAAAATCTCAGTCAAGGATCCCGTGGCTGAGCACGGGCCAGAGTTTGCTTCCTTCTCCAAAATTCTTGACAAAATCCCGGTCAAGGATCTCGTGGCTGAGCACAAGCCAGAGTTTGCTTCCTTCTCAAAATCCCAGTCGAAATCCCACCAAAATCCCAGTCAAGGATCTCATGGCTGAGCACGAGCCAGAGTTTGCTTCCTTCTCCAAAATCCCACCAAAATTCCAGCCCAAATCCCAGCCAAGGATCTCATGGCTCATCATGAGCCAGAGTTGCCTCATTCTCCAGAAATTCCGGCCAAAATCCCAGCCCAAATCCCACCAAAATCCCAGTCCCACCAAAATTCCAGCCCAAATCCCAGCCAAGGATCTCATGGCTCATCATGAGCCAGAGTTGCCTCATTCTCCAGAAATTCCGGCCAAAATCCCAGCCCAAATCCCACCAAAATCCCAGTCCAGGATCTCATGGCTAAAGAGGAACCATGGGGTCCTCACCAAATCCCAGCTCATCTGGGACGGGCCCAGTTCACCCAGTGGCATCCAATTGTGACATCACCGGGCTTGAACTGGGCTGAGCTCTGTGATATTATGGGGTGGATTTTCATTGGGAATGCGATTTAAGGAATTTTCCTCGTTCTCGCAGCGTCTCCGCCCAACCCGAGCCGGGAGGTGGCCGGGGACACCATCGTGTTCCGGGATACGCAGATCGGCAGCAGCGCCGTGTACCAGTGCAACGCCTCCAATGAGCACGGCTACCTGCTGGCCAACGCCTTCGTCAGCGTGCTGGGTGAGTCCCGGGCCACCCAAACCTCCAAATTCCATGGAATCCTGCCACGGGTTGGGTTGGAAAGATCCTTGAAGGTCATTCAAAGTTCATCTCGAAAGGGTGGATGCGCTGTGTTTCAGTTACAAGGCGGTGCTGGGTTGTAGGTTGGGCTCGGTGGTTTTTTCCAACCTTTTTCCAATCTTTTCCCAACCTTTTTCCAATCTTTTCCCAACCTTTTTCCAATCTTTTTCCAACCTGGTGGATTCTGGGATTCATCCAAAATTCCATCCCCTCCCCACGGATGGAGAATGGAAATTTCCACYATCWCAGGCTSCTCCAAATCCCATCCAACCTGGCCTCGGACACTCCCAGRGATTCCAGGARYAGCCKCSGCTTCTCTGGGAATTCCATCCCAGCCCCTCCCCACCCTCATGGCGAGGAATTTCTTCCCAAAATCCCATTTAAACTTTCCTATTTCAGTTTAAAATCATTCCCCGTTTCCCTATCACCATACCCTTGCATAAAATTAGTTCTACCTGTTTTTTCCAAGCCCCATTTTCCCTGCAGAACTTTCCACAAGTTTTCCGTGCGTTTTGTTGTTTGCTGCTCTGAGGGGAAGCTCTGGAGCAGTAATCCATTGCCACAGATTCAAACTGGGCAAATCCTGGGAAATGAGTCAGAAAACGAGACTGGAAAGAGAGGGAAGGGGGAAAGAGTGGGAATGGAGAAACTTTTTGGGTTTTGGAAGTACCAATAGGAAWCCAACCCTGAAAAAAACAGGGAAAAAGGCTGGAAAGGAATGACCGAATCAATTTTTTCCTGCTTCTCTGTGGCTGGAATTTTCTCTTTTGGCAGATGTTGTCCCCCGGATCCTGGCCCCYCGGAACCAGCTGATCAGAGTGATCCAGAACAACCACACCCGCCTGGATTGTCCCTTTTTCGGCTCCCCCATCCCCACCCTGCGCTGGTAAGAGCCGCAGCCCATCCCGCTCTGTCCCCACAGGTGGGCAAAGGGAGGGTTTCCCGTTTTTCCTTCCCTTCCAACAGCACTTTGTGGTGTTGGGAGGTTTAAGAACGGCCAGGGGAACACGCTGGACGGAGGCAACTACAAAGCGCACGAGAACGGGAGTTTGGAGATGTTCATGGCACGCAAAGAGGACCAGGGAATCTACACCTGYGTGGCCACCAACATCCTGGGCAAGGCCGAGGCACAGGTCCGCCTGGAGGTCAAAGGTACGGGAAAAAAGGGGTCTGGAACCTGTCCGGATCCCAGCAGGGTGTGAGGGGGCAGTGGATTTTGGGATATAACACCCTTGACCCCATACAGACCCCAGCAGTGGTGTGAGGGGGCAGTGGAGTTTGGGACATGATCCCCTTGACCCCATACAGACCCCATTAAGGTTGCCAAGGGGGCAGTGGAGTTTGGGACATGATCTTTGACCCTGTGCGGATCCCAGCAGGATTCCAAGGGCACAGAGGAGTTTGGGACATAATCCTTAACCCCACACAGACCCCATTAAGGTTGTGATAGGTTCTGAGGATTTTGGGCCATGACCGTTTGTTTGTGATCCCACCAGGATTCCAAGGGGACTTGAGGAGTTTGGGGCATTACCCTTGACCCCATCTAGACCCCATTAGGGTTGTGAGAGGCCCCAAGGAGTTTGGGACATAACCCTTGGCCCCACACAGACCCCATTAAGGTTGTGATAGGTCCTGAGGATTTTGGGACATGACCTTTTGTTTATGACCCCATCCAGACCCCACCAAGATTCCAAGGGTTCCTGAAGAGTTTGAGACAAAACCCTTGATCCCATACAGACCCCATTAAGGTTGTAATGGGTCCTCAGGATTTTGGACCATGACCCTTTATTTGTGACCCCATCCAGATGCCCCCAGGACTGTGAGGGGACTGAGGATTTTGGGCCATGACCCTTTGTTTGTGACCCCATCCAGACCGCACCAGGATTTCAAAGGGACAGAGGAGTTTGGGACAGAACCCTTGACCCCATAGAGACCCCATTAAGGTTATGATGGGTCCTCAGGATTTTGGACCATGACCCTTTATTTGTGACCCCATCCAGATGCCCCCAGGACTGTGAGGGGACCAAGGATTTTGGGCCATGACCCTTTGTTTGTGACCCATCCAGACCCCACCAAGACTTGAGGAGTTTGGGGCATGACCCTTGACCCCATACAGACCCCATCAAAGTTGTGATGGGTCCTGAG